CCTTACCAAGATGCCGAGCCACTGAAGCGGGCGTTGACGAGTCTCCACAAAGGCCTATGCCGGGGAGAAGGACGCAGTTGCACTTAAAATGACAATAACCTGTCCTGCTGTGGTAATGATGAATTGGAGCGAACGGAATAAGAGGAAACAAAAACTGAAGGTCGGTTATGGCGGCGCCCATGCACAGCGGCCTGAAAGCGTCTATATTCAATAACGTGGCTCTTGATTCTCGCAGATGATGATGATACCGTGTCTCTAAAGCTCATAAACAAAGAATACTACTACATGTACACGGGGCGAGACAAACAGTGGGAGGATTTCTGGAGCGCAAACGAGCACGTACCACGTGACACTAAGCGTCGTACCGCGTTCCACGCGGCGGCGTGTGTTTCCAGAACACCTCCGATTGGATACATTTCGTTTCTTGTGCATTAATAAGACAGGTAGGAAACGCCAGAAAGCCAAGGTGGAGTGGTGTAGTGGTTAGCACACCCGACCGGACATTGGGAGGCCCAGAGTTCAAATCCTGGCTCCGCCAATTTTTGGCTTTCGGCGGGTTCCTGAAAACTTGGATTCTTTAATTCATTGGATTAAGTACGGTTCATTCATCTGCACATATGCAGAGCCGTAAATGTAGAGAGTTTGGCCATTCGTTGGGAAGTATAGGAGACGAATGAGGAGGCGCCATTGGCCAAAAGCGGGCTGGGCGTGTTCCAGGGCGTCTTCAGAAATTCGAATGTAACCAACCAGAAGCCGGAAATAATACCCTGGCGGTGGTCGCGAGAAACAAACCTGATAACTGCATTAGAGTAACTCTCAATGGCTGAAAATATGGTACACGTGATGTTTCAATCACGTTAATCCAAAATGATGGTGGAAGGGTGCGACTAGCGGAACGATCGACATGATCCGTACGCCAAGCTCCCAGGGCCGGGAATCTGCCGTCCGAACGGTCACACTCTGTCCGCGCAAAACAGAGTTGCGCGGCGCATTCGTTTCTTACATCTTTCTGCATGATCATGATCAAAACAACACGTGAACCCTATTTTCAACCAAAAAGAGTTACTACACTTCACTCTTACGCGTTTATTAAAACCATATACGAACATAGACTTTTGATCAGAACTGTTTGCCGCTACCACCGCTAGGGGATTATTTTCGGCTTCTGGTTGGTCAAAAGAGCATGCCAAGCCCTCTTTCCGACTCTGCCGCACGCCCTGACTCTGCCCGCACCTCCCATTGACCAAACTCTCTCAATACACGGCTCTGCACATATGCGTTCATATATATATATATATATATATATATATATATATATATATATATATATATATATATATATATAGTGGTAACTTTGGTGCGCCTTCGCAAGTTTTCCAAGAGCTTCAAGTCGTTCTAAAATTGAGTGATATAGTGGTTTTCGATTGTGCTCAGCATGTTCCTAACTGAAACCATATGATTATTTTACTAATAAAGAAGTAAATTGAGGAGGTTTAGTTAATTATCCGACTTATCGCAAAGATTAGCCACCTATATGATGTTCCCCTGACCGTATAACACACCTGCTCAAACTGTATTAGTGCATCTTTTTCGGATCTTTCGTGATAAATCTCTTCGAATTAAAATTTGAACACCCGGTATATATATGCATAATTAAATATATAAAAAATCAGAAAGGAGCAGTGCGCATGCGCGGAATTCGAAACTCTCCTGGGAATGAGAGTGCGTGCTTATAAAACATTAATAATTTTGTATACGTCGTGTGCGCGCGAGCCAAGACGACACAGTTGAAGCTACAAGCACGAAACCTATTGTTGCGAAATATGCTAGCGCCGCACGAGAGAGTAAGGTCTGTTCCGTACTTTTAAACTACACACACACACACACACGCACACGCACACCAACGAAGTTAGACATATTCAAACACTCAGTATTAGCAACTTTCAGCTATGATGGAATAGGGGTGTGAGAATCCCGCCCCTTTGCTCCTGGAAGATTGCCTTCAGAATGAAGGTGCTTCTTACACCTTCCTGACGTGAAAGTATAAGGATATGGCTCTTATATTTCTCGTATTTGGCGAAATTAAAATTACTTGAGCGTCGCAGACACAATTTCGTACTGCTGTTTCACGACGATCATCTAGATGACAGTCATTTTGATAGGCACCAGTGCGCTTCCTGTTGGTCGCGGAAGTTGTGAATCGTGCGAATGGTTGAGCACAAGCTGGGGCAGCGCACTTTCGTTTCAGTTCATTATACTTAGGTTTTATCTTGAGTTTGAGCGCAGCCAACGCTTCGAGCTGAAGGGACCAATCAAAGAGCGCCAAATGCGCGACGTCATATCCTTCGTCATCTCTCTCTACATGTTCTATTATCTGTTAAATCCTATCAAGCGCAGCGAATGTTCGGTAACCTGCGCTTTTTAGTAGGTGCGTCGGTGTTTGTATGCGTTCGAGTCTTCGACTGCCGTCTGACGTACGATGAATCGAAGAGCAGGAATATCATTCGAAGAAACGATGCTGCTCCGTGGGCACTCTTCGAAGCACACTTTACTGCGGCTGCGCTGGCCCTCGACATCAATATCGTTCGACGAAAACCCTATTTGCCAGGTCTTTCCTATAAGTTATTCAGCTGACGACAATGACTCCATGGAAATACCTTTTGATGTTTTTATTCGCCCGTGGCTTTAGCGACATACGAAGTCAAAATCACAAACCGTTACCTCCAGAGACTCCCCGCACAACTTGTTTGTCCAGCTGCCGCTGACACGCAAACCCCAACCGGCTTATAGCTCTGGCATTTCATTTGTTCGCTTTTTGCGTGACGGCCAACTATTATGATTTAATGGTTTATCTAAACTCGTCTGTTTCTATCCACTAGAATGATATTATGAAGCAAGGAAGCCACACTGGCGGGTTCAAATGAAATGCGAACACTGGAGCGCATGGCTGTCAACAAATGCTGCGCCTCCTGGAGGCCTCTGGAAACTGATAAAACTGCGGGGTGGAGAGTAGGGCGCTGCAAGGCTGTGCATTCTACTCCGATGCGTTTGAACATAGCCCAGCATAACCGAAGCTTCGATGCTGCGCCGGTAGTACACTCGAAGTTCCGTCACTGTTCGGATTTCACTCAAACCCGATGGTGCTTAAAAAAAAAAAGAAAAAAAAATAGGTGTTTAAAGGCAAGAAAAAGTGCCCTTCGAAATTCTGTACGAAAGCTGTAAGAAACAAAAGTAAGAATGTCAATCGACGGACTTGCAGCCGTCCAAGGTGAACCACTCCTTTGCGGTGTCAAGAAAATAAATGAAAGATGTTTAGCAACCAACTCCGAGCGGGATAATGCGGTGGTGGGTGACTTTAAAGATCCGGAGACGTCACGCGACACATGTACGAGACTCCGGTCTATGAACTAACGCAATAACTTTGTCACGGGAAAGCGCACGAGTCGGGTCGCTTGAAAGCACACCGTCGTTGTCGGAATCGTAAGTCAGTTGGCAATGAGCCATCCGAGGTCTCGTACACGCGCCAAGAATGAATGCCGCCCTTTCAGTTTGTTGGTGCCGTAATCGCGAAGAAGCCTTCGACCTGCTTCGTTCCATTCGACATTCCACAGAACCTGCTCACGTACAAGGGACGAGGTGTGTGCGAGGCAAAACGCATGCCTATGCTTATCCTCGTACGCCGGGGAAGCGAGCACCTGTTCCAGAGTGCGACGAAAGAAGACACCTAGTTTCTACCAACAATAATCTTAGGTCTTATACTTTGTTTCAGAGTAAGTTCAGACGAAGCATACGCTACGAGCTAATGGGACGAATGAAGCAGCGTCAAAAGCGCTAGTCATTGAGACTTTTTTTGTTGATTATTAGTTCACTGATAGAACACGTACGAAAACATGACGAACACCATCATGTTGCGATTTTAACTCAGTCTGATTGGTCTTATCTGCTCGTACCGTCGGCTGCGTCTGGACGTAAAGTGATACGAAGTATAGGTATTCTTTTTAAAGGCATTAGACCTAAGACCTTACCTTTTCTTAGGTCCGAGCGGGGTGCAAGAAATAATTGCAACACGAACACAAACGCATAGACTGAAAACGCGATGTCTGGACGCATTCTTCGCGGTTCAATGATTCAGTCCCTTACAGAAATTATCAATGAGTTTCTATTGAGTTTGTAATGTATTCTTATGGAATACGTTTGAAACTGAATAGAAACTCATTGATCATTTTTTGTAAGGGGTTGGCGGTAACCAGAAACACACATACACAAAAAAATTTGCAACGTAACGTTTTTTTAAAAGATGAATTCGGCGCCATTCGTATTGCGTTCGGACTTAAAGGGCAACTCCGGTCGAAAGCGAAATCAGAATAAACTACTGGTATAGCTTCATTGGCGCGAAATATGATCAGAGCCGAAATATTACGCCAACGTGAAGCCGCGTACTCCGCTAAAACCGAAAACCGATTTTAAACTTACTACCAGGTGCTCTTTAGAGGGACAGCTTTTAGTCAAGGAACACTGGCGCAGCACTCATGTGACTGTTGCAGGAGAAGCGCTAAAGTAGACTCACTCACCCTCACATTCACACTCACACCAGAAAAACGGTCACTCACGTCAGCGCGACGTGAGTGACCGTTGTTCTGGTGTGAGTGTGAGTGTGAATGTGAGGGTGAGTGAGTCTACTTTAGCGCTTCTCCTGCAACATGTATATCCAACTCGCCCAAGCATCCATTCTAAGAACTCTTGTGACGTCACGTCACGGCCGTACGGCTGATGATCATTGTTGCCGTCCCTCTAGCAGATAGTTTCGGTTTTGCCGTAGACGCCCGGAACCAACTTTGAGTCGGTGGAATTTATAAAACTACACACAATACAAAAAAAAAAAAAAGTATACCTTGTAATTCAGGGACACTGCTTTAGCTGAAACCAGCTGTAATCTCAAATTCAAAAATCTTGATCGGGAATATTGTTGTCTTTGTAGCACAAGAAAAAGGGAAAGATATGTTTGCACTCCTAAGCCATTGATTGATTTATTGACACTAGAATACAGCGAGTCGTCACAGGTTGAGGATCTTTTTGCTTTCGTCCCGCATCTTGTGTTTCTGTATCTTTCCGGATACCGTCTTGGGGAACGTTTCCACGAACAGCACGTATTTTGGAATCTTGAAATGACTGAGCTGCAAAGAAAAGAAACAAAAGAAATAGATTTGTGTTCGATTTTTACCGTTGAGTGTCAGGCGGTGCGTTCGTTAAAAATATATGCGTGTCATGTACCTTGCCCTTGCAGAAGTTCTTCACATCCTCTTCATTTAAGGTTCTCCCGGGCTTCAATTTTATCCACGCGCAGCTCTCTTCTCCGAGCCTCTTGTCGGGAACTCCAACCACCTGCGAGAAGTTCCGGACGCCATACGTAAACCGCTCTCTGCACACTCTCAGAAAAAAGGGTGTATTATTACACCCTTTGTCCCATATAATACACCCCAAAACTTCAATTCGACGTACTGCGCCCTATAATCGAACAAACGGCCCCAAATTTTACGAGGGGCTTGATAGCCGCGTGGTACAACTTGCTAAGATAGCTAATGTATGTATTATTGAATACAAAAAAGATTATCGGAGTTTTCTTGGCCCTACTGCAAAAACTCCATGTTTTCTTTCTTTGGTCTTTGATACATAGTTTAGCAATTTAATAAGTTATATCGCACCGTTATCAAGCCCCTCGTAAAGTTTAGGGCCGTTTGTTCGATTATAGGGCGCTGTACGTCCAATTGAAGTTTTGGGGTGTATTATATGGGACAAAAGGGTGTATGGTGATACCCTTTTTTTTTAGAGTGTGGTGTACAGTACATAATCGAACAGGTGTCTATGCTGTTGACGCTTAACTTTCGCGCGCATTAATGTAAGTGTATAATACAAGTCAAAGAAGAAAAATATAACCTAGGCGGTTAGTAGATGGGCACTCCTTTACAAGAGGTCGATTCCAGTTCCCCAGCTTTTTATAAACCGCGTACTCGCAACAGGAGTCATCTTCTACTTTGGAGTTCTAGCAACTCGTCATTGTAGGACCGATAACGCTCTGGCTAAACTAATGCCTTTTAGATAACAAGGCCTATTTACTACGTCACCTATCGAAGACCAAGGCGAGGCATGGATTGCACATGGGCTCTGCGTCAGCGTTCAACTGGAACACGTATCCACTCAGCGAGAACCCGAGTGACCATTCGCTCCGCTGTGCGAGAATCTCGTTAGGGCATCACTGGATTCATTGGTGTGGTGACATGTCGGGGGTCCAAGGTGCCAATTGGCCGTAATTTTAAAGTCGTATTTGGCGAATTTTCGAGACAATTACTTCCCTTCGTATTTAACCTCCAGCAATCCAATCTAAGCAAATTATTCGGAACAAAGAAACCGTGTCCGTTTTACGTTAATGGAGAGGCACCAGAGAATAAGAACAAAACGGATATCCTGAGAAGGAAAAAGTAATCTGACCCTCACAATGCCGCCATTGACGAAAGCCGGACAAAATGTTTTATGCCGTGGTTCGGAAATTGGGACCTGTTTATCCCGGGCTCAAGTTAATCAAAGTACGTAATTGATGAGACACTAAAATGAATTTTATTTTTGAGGGCATAGATGGCACACGTACTTATTTTTAGTACATTTTCACGACATACAAGTTGTTCTTGCAATATTTACACCGTTAGACGCAATTTAGGTGGAAATCAGCCTCGGCCAAAGATAATTGGCCTTGCCTATTACTACTGGATTGGATTGGCTTGGCTGCTCGGCCGAACATGCTAACAAGCCTAGTGTCTCCCTTTCGCTACACTCGGTGTGCCTAGTCTGGTGTGTGACACCGCCTGCTAGTTGTGCTAGCAGACAGCAGACGATAGACGGCGGCTATTTCACCGCCGTCTATCGTCGCCTGCAATGCACGTGAGACGCGGACAGGAAAGCCGCGCATCGGCGTCCATTTTCTCCTTCGTCCATCTGCTATTCAGCCCTCGCCTAAAAACTACTGGAAAGATGGCAAGGCACGACCACGAAAGCGGCGTTCTAGCGTTCCATTATGCACGAGCCACGGCCAAATACAAGCGTCTGCCAGCGCCTGTCGATTTGCGGTAAAAAGCGACCGAGAGGACTACAAAAAAGCAACAATATAAAGATGCAGTCATTCCAGCTTTTTTGTTTTTGTGATTTTTGTTTTCGCATGGCTTCCACGAGCAAGGTAATGGAGCGTCACGACGGACTATTAAAGCGCCACCTAAAATGTTCGCTTTGACAGGCCAGGTGCACCGAAAAACTTGAGTAATTGACTTTCGAAGCGAAACGATTGGAACATACCTGGACACTCTGGATGCGTGCCGATTGCCTGATTGCCTCCAGTCAAATGGCTCGCAAATTCTTACCTGTGTAGGTATCTTCTCGGGTATTGAAACCATGGTCGCAATCACGACGGTTGCACAATTCACGAAGCAGCGGGGACGCTTTTACGGAAACCAACATTTGTATTCAGCATCAACACGCGCAAACAAACAAATCAAGCCAGATCAAGCAACATCGCTGACGTGGCACGCTAGCCTTAGGCCAGCCCCGCTACGAAAACAAGCACCCCCACAGCGCTTCCGAAGGCAACAAACTACATGCGACAGTTGTTTGTTTCCAACTATGTCGGTTGAGGAGATCTTCCTGTAAACACCCCAGTCACGCTCGTCTATGAAAATAGACGAGCTTAACGAGCTGAGCTCGTTGAGCACTCCGCACATCATGGAGGGTTCCTGGAGGCGACACGACGCCAGCAGAGGGGACGCCGGGGAGACTTCCGGGTTGGAGAGACACGCCCCCAACCATGACCAAAGGCAAAAAAATAGGGTATTGGACGGACTTTGGCACCCCTGGGGTCGTTCCCACTGACCACGACTTCTACTTCCGGCTTCACTTGGGATCTCCTCGTTTGGTTGGCCTCAAGCCGGTTTGTCGCCTCCTCATAACCCTACCTCCATGCCGCAGACGCCGGGAGCAATGTTTGATGTCGTTGCCCACCGATGCGAAAGAGGCAATCTTGAGATAGTTTTGAAAACAATAATCAGTCTTTCTAGATGATTCGTTTTTCAAACATAAATATATTGTCGATAAAAATTCTATTGCGCGATATTTACGCCTAACAGCGTAAATATTGCGCAAATTTATCTTTCGTGGAAAAAAAAGTAAAACATACTTTTTTTTTTTAAAGAAAAATATTTTAAAAAGAAAATAATATTTTTCATTTCAGTGACACTTTATTTGAATTGAATTATAGTCGAGTAAAAAGTACAAGATGTCTTACGCTAAAAAAAAAAGTTTAAAAATCCCGAAGAAAAAAAAAGTTTCGAAATATTTGACGCAACCGAAACGTTTTGCAAGCAGCTGAACGAAAAACTCGTGTTAACCTCATAAATACCACTAGTGGTATTTATGAGGTTATCTCGAGCGTGCATGGATGGCCATCTGCGCACGGGGTCGCGCCCTTCTTAAAGGGGTTATGAAATGATATATCGGGTTGGAATGCTCATGACTTGGCAAAGGCGCACTGGGGGGGGGGGGGGGGGTTGAAATTGCGAGGATGAAAGGGGTCTATTTATTTCACTCTTGCCTTTGCAAGGCTTGTTGACGTAATTGTGGGATCGACACCACCCACCTGACGACAGTCGAGCGCAGCTCATGGATTGGACGCAAGAGCTGCATGAGCACTCGACTTCGGCTCGTAACAATCATTGCCTCGGCGGACACTCGGGTAGGGGCTCGTGTCCAACCACTGCGGTGATGAGAATAGCCGAACTCTAGCAATGCCTAGAGCTCAGAACATGTTTTCTGCTTTGCCAACCGCAGCCCGTGGTTATGATTAACGTTGGCGGCTTGGGATAGGCACCAGGCCACGTGGCCGCTTCTTCTGGCTCCGAGTTAAAAGAATAAACAATGCTCATATATTTTTGTTTTTGCGACTGCCATCGTTTTAAAGGTAAAACTTGGGCAAGTTTATTCAGTTATTAACGTTAGGCAGTGATTCTAAATGAATGAAAGGAAAACTCTAACCGAAAATTGATACGGAGCCCGACGTTTCAAGGCCAGTTCGGCCCCTTGATTACAGGTCACTGTTTTTGTCCTTGTCGTCTTGTCGTCTTGCAAATTGCCCGGTGTTGTTGGCTTATGGTTCCTAGCACCTCGCGTGACGCACCGCAAATCGGACACTTAGGCGCTTGGCAGTGTCCCAGCTGACCGGTTGACGTTATTTTTGGTGTTCTGGATGTACCAGGACTCTAATAAAAGGCGTCTTCGCCAGTTTCTTTCCGTGCCAAGAATAGAGCAATTATTGAATCCAATCGTGTGACCCTCTCTTTGGACGTGTTCTGCCAGCGCACTGCCCTGCACGTTATTCTTTCTAACGTCATACTGATGCTGGCGTAGACGTTCCGGGAAGTTTTTAGTTTCCCCAAAGTAGGAGGCGGCGCAGTCACCACACGGGATCCTGTAGACGAGTCCCTGAGCCTTCTCTTTAGGGGGACGATCCTTTTGAAGGGAGAAGAGGCGTCCAATGGTGGACACCGGTTTATGTGTCACACTGATGCCGTATTTTTGTTAAAGGCGCGCGAGAGTCTCGCTTGGGCCCTTGATGTACGGGACGCATACGCGGTTGAGTGGAGGAGGGGTGTCTTCTGCTTCATTCCGTCTAAGTTTTTTTTACACGTTGTTCAAAAACCTGGGAGGATAGCCATTCTGTTTTAAGTCGTGTTCGATCGTTGTAACCTCTTTCTTAAGAGCCTCTTCAGTGGAGAAGACAGTAATTGCTCGCCCGAAGAGTGCGGAAGCCACAGAAGATTTGTGCGTTGCAGGAAGAGAAGTTCAGGTATCGGCCGGTGTGTGTCGGTTTTCTGTAAACTTCGAATGTCAAACGGTTGGACTTTCTCTTAGTGAGCACGTTCAAGAATGGAAGAGAACCGTCAGACTCCAGCTCAATCGTGAATTGTATCGCCGGTTCGGGAGTGATTCTAAGCAGTTTTTAGCGAAAGTGGAAAAATCGCTTTAGAGTGCTGCTTTGACGCTGTGTTTTGTTTCCGCTACGCTGGTTTTGCACTTCTCCCTTCTGTCGTACTTATTCGTGGCCGCAAGGATTTGTCGTGTGTGATTTTCATTGGCAGTGCCCCGTCTCAATTAGCCGACTACGATGATTTTTCAACGTTTTCTCGTTGGTGTTTGTAGACGTGTGAACCGAGACGAACGACTTTTTAAATGTTATGTTGTTACAGAAATTGAATGTGCGTTGAAAATCATTACTTGACGTCTGACCACGGAATGCTTTCTTTATATCTTAAATAAAGTGACCGTGATATTGTACCGTGATGTCCAAAGGATGTGAAAAAAACAAAAGAAAAATGGTCTATAGAAATTCCTGGCTGATGTTCATTTTAGCCGTAGTCACACTGCTCAGACATCACACAAAATACATGGCGTTCAATGCAGACATGACTTGCGTTCGCAGACAATTCTGTCCGCAGACAGAATTGTCTGCGGATAAACCTCGGGCATTTTCGGAGCATGCTTGTGTCATTCATATACGTATGCTCAGAACATGTCTGCACACATGTCTTTTATGACTTCTTTGACATGACCGCCACACAAGACAGGCGCCCCAGACAGTGCTGCAGGCTGCCCTTTGTAAAATGCATTGGCAGTGCGACCACGGCTTAAAGTTTCAAGTTCCCTCACGCGCTTACGAGCAGAGATACGTATTTGGCATGTAAGATCGATTACCTTCCTGTATACCGTGGGTATTTTTTGATGACAGTTTTCCATGGCCTCGTCTTGTAAGTCAACGAGCGTGTAACGTTGCGCAATGCGTGCGTGCGTCCTATCATTTGAGCCGGCTGCCGTCATCCTTACCTGGACTTCGAGCACGTCGGGGTGCCTGTAGAGGAAGTCCTCGATCTCCACGGGGTAGACGTTCTCACCGCCCCGGATGATCATGTCCTTGATGCGACCCGAGATGGTCAGGCGACCGTCCTCGCTCATCCTCGCCTCGTCCCTACAGAGAGAGATAGACAAGATGGATTACCCGGCTGTGAAACGTGCGCGGGCTATTAAAGTTACTCCTGTTTCACAAAATACACCATAGGCCATCAGAACGAACTCCTTCAAAGAATCAACGGATCGGCTTGCGATCTCGACTGCATGTGAGCGCCAACCGGCGTGCGCTAAATTGCCGACTAAAAAAAACAAAAAAAACAAACAAACAAACAAACAAACAAAGGTTGTTTTGAAGGATTTAACACGCTCCTAAAACAGGGATATCATACTCCCGTTTTGTGGGCACTTAAATAGCCTTCAGAACGAACACCTTTAAATATTTGTCGAATCAGGCAGCCATCTTTACATTGCGCGTACCGATCGGCGCGCGCTAGTTCGACAATTTGCTTAAGAGAGAGAGAGAGAAAAAATATTTATTTTAGCACGCCTAGTCCGGCGCTCCAATATAGCTTTACCACACTTCCCCAAGTACGTTGTGGACGTGCTGGATCAGAAGTGGCAGTAGGAGGTGTTGGTGATCTTTAGGTGGAGTGATCCAGCTCTCCCAAGAGGTTAGGTGTAGGTCGGGGTGCAGTTGGTGTAGAGTGGCAGATATGAGGGGTTTCGCGTGTGGACAATCCCACATCATCTGTATGTTGGGAGGGTGGCTTCCGCAATGGGGACAGTAGGGGCGTCCAGGGAGTCATTGTATGTAGTGTTTGTAATGAGGGGTCATTAGAGTGTGAGTTTGAGCACGGCGTAAGATGGCACCCTCCTCGCGGGTGAAATGTGGAGGCGGATGGGGGAGAGGCGAAGCGGTCATGCGCAGTTCTTTGAGGATAGCCGTTCGAGCTTTGTGGAGTTGCTTGCGGTGTTCACGTGGGTCGTAGGACTCAGGCCAGAGGGTAGGAGGCCCCGGATTTCCTTCAGCGCGCGAGAGCGCGTGCGCTCTTGAATTTCCTCCCATGCCCTGATGGCCTGGTATCCATTGGATAGTGACGTTCAGATGAGGGGATAGTTTTGAAGGCCATCCAATTCCCCTAAAACAGGAAGTAACCTTGAAATCGGTGCAACCCAGTGACAGTGAGTGCGGCCATTTCCGCCTCCGTGGGTCGCCCAGTGACAGTCAAATAACACACTTATTTGCGAGTAGATATCTGTTCGTTTCTGCAGCGTTATGGCTAAGCGAGTTCGGTATTTAACATCTTGCGTTTCAGGATTATTCACTCGATTCTATAACACAACACAGCTCGCTTGGAGAAAGAAAAAAATTAATCGCCTTGATTCTGCGTATAGAGTTCGAGTAACGCAGAATTCGGACCGAGGGGCTGTTACAGGGCAATATGTAATATTTTTCCTCTAAGTTTAGCGGGTAGTGGTCAAGTGACGCCATCAGTATGAGGTAGTCATGTGACACCAATCCCGTGACCTGACGTCACGTGATGTGACCAGCTACTGACACCGCGATATAGCAGTGATATCCCACGACACCGTGACGTAACGTGATCTCACGTCACGTCACGTCACGTGGTTACGGGACCCATGCATAACCACTAGTGACACCAACCACCTGACCCATAGCTACATCAACCACGTGATCATTATACGCCCGTGCTATTGTGCTCTAGTAACAGTATTTCTTCACGCACTAGAAACTAGCCCGGGAAAGCATTCTGCTCAAAAATGGCGACCGGTGCGTTTGTTTTGCAGTACACGCGTAACGAGCTGAAAGCACCCTCTTTTAAAATACGTGCCCTCACCAAACAATACATACTACATACACACATTTTATTGACTCAGTGGGACTATAAAAGAGTGGGACTATTAAAATAAACTATATTTTAAAGATTTTTTTTTTAATTAGTGCAAGTCTCGATCAGCGATGCGTATATATCTCGAGATCACTATCAGTTTGCCACTCACCCCGTGTGATACCAGTTGTAGCGGATGACCTCCCTGGTCTTGCCTTCCTCCTTGAAGTAGCCCATGAAGACGAGGTAGCCTCGGGCGCACAGCTCTCCCCTCTGGTTCACCGGGACGATCCTGTCTTCCGCGTCCACAATCTTCACCTGGAATAACACGAGGCGCGATGCAGAGCGCTCTGTCTTCGACTCGCGGCTGCAGAAAAAGAACTTGCGAAAAATATTTAATAATAATAATAAAAGATGATTAGAAGAAGCCAGTGTGACCATCTTTTATGTGCAATAACAAACGAAGTTCTATAGTTTCAGAGCACATCAAAGTATTTATGAACCTGTCGGTAGGTCAGTATTATATTAATCTTCATGAACACGTTGTTATTACAAAGTAACACTGTCACGGGAATTCGATGAAACGAAATGAGCTACAAGTTTTTAATTGTTTCGAGATAAAAGAGCGTTTAATTTTAATAACTTTGAGCCAGAAGTAAGTTAAAAATATAGTGGCTCTATACATGAATGCCCCCTCAGGTTATAATATACAACACTATATTTATTCACCAACTACAAGCATGGTGGGGGGCTGGGGAAAAAGCTGTCCACGCAGCTTGGCAGGTGCCCAGCTGCCCCTACAGGCACACAGAAGTGGTGAACGAACAAAAACAAATAAGTAAACATACCGTTCATAGGTTATCATACATAAGGCACAATGTTTCCCTCGTTGAAAAGAAAAAAAAAAATATTGGCAATTGTCTACATCGAGCAAAAAATACATAGAATAATTTCGAGATTGAAAAAAGAAATGATACAATACAAAGCATTCCTCCCCCCCCCCCCTCCAAAAAAAAAAAAAAAAAAAATATATATATATATATAAAAAGTAAACACCTTATTGAAGCAATAAATAACTGGCAGTTGTTTAGATCGGAAAAAAGCAATCACGGAGTTCATGCATGCTGCAAGATTCGACAGGGTGTATCAAATGGATCGATGGCTGTTTGAAGGGACCACATAAATCGGTTTCTGAACGTGTCGATCAAATATTTTACATAGAGGTGGCCGAACAAGGTGCATTAAGGTTTATGAAACTTTCATTGAACAAACTTACCTGACTAAAAAGTTTGAAACGAAAAACTTGAAATCTCTCCATTCGGCTGCCGTCTGCTAACTAAAGCGTTGCCTCCGAGATTTTTCGCGCACTGGCGGCGCACCTCAGGCCACTGAATTCGCCGGAAGAGACTGTTGCTGCGGGTACAGTGTTCTAGAGGGGCTTGTAGTGGCAAGAGCGGCGGCCGCTTTGTGAAGAGTTTGCGCGTAGACGACACCATGGCGATGCTGTTCTGTGCCCTAGGAGCGCGCCCCCGTCAGCCCCATCATCAGCGCTGTTAGGCGCTTACTACTGTGGTTTGACTGGAGCTTTTCGCGGTGCGAAACGACTGCTAATGTTGTTCTGTATACTCTGTTTCACCTTATGATGTACCGCAGGAAAGGCTACAAGCGCGAGCTCTTGGCTCTGGGGCACATCTCGGCGGCACACGCTCTCGTGAATTAAGAGCAGCTGCGAACGCTATGATCTCGCGCTTCTAGCCTTCGCTGTGGTACAACATAAGGTGAAACGAAGTATAGTAAGTTGTTGTTCTGCCTTTAGACTAATGCCTCTAGAGTGTGTGCTATCCTCTACTTGAAATATTCCCGTGTTTTGAGGGAGATTATTTAAATAATCTCGACAATTATTTTTTGGTTACGTGTCATCGTCAGCTTTGCACTCGCTGGCTAACATTTCTTCTTTGCAACTTTTGTACGTGCTGTTTCGGGGTACAAGTCATCTTCATGGTGCGCTTAGCTCAAGCAACGAGCGAGTGAAGGTCGCTCTCTGCTACAGGGAGTACCACAAGACGAAAGAAATCCGCCAACGTTTTCGGATGGAGTTTCGGGGGCAACCTCTGGGCTGGGTGACGTGCCTCCAACGAGGAGCGAAACATCCAAAACAAGTCACCGACAAGAGTGGTGCCATCACTGAAGCCGACGCTGAAAAATGCGGCACTCAGGGACTTCACTGCCGACCGACACCGCACAGAAGACGAGGCCGTAGTGCTGACATTTTTGCGTCACCAAGCAAGGCCGACGCTGGACATAGATTGGAAACAAGTGCTGCATCAGCACTCGGCTTAGAGTCAAGTTTGAGCCAAACGTTGACGTAATCGTCGTGTCCAATCTGTGACCAGCGTTGGCCTTCTCTGATGACGACATCTCATTCAGCACTTCGCCCTTGTTATCTAGGTGGTGTTGGATATTCACCGGGTAAGGACTATCTAAATAATCTGTTGTTTTTCAGAAATTTGTTTTTATCAGAACGTACAACTGGTGATTATAGTCCGTAAAATACGGTAATGGCGTGTACTAAAAATTACCACCGACCTCGGTGTGCTCGAAGGGCCTCCCAACGGTTTCAATCCATTCTTCTGTTGGTTCGTCAGGGCACGTGGAGGATATAAGGGGACTGGTTTCTGTCGTGCCGTAGAAAATCTGAAACATAACCACCGTTATTACAACACAACAACAGCAACAACAACAAAGAAACGTTTTTGGAATGAACCCTTTAAAAAAAATGCGCGCCATTATGTCATTGTAGCTTATCGCTGAGTAACAATTTGCTTCATATTTATTTCCCAGCAGTTTGCCAAGCATTAAAAAAAAATTACGTCATCAAACTTTGTCGTGGTTTTCTTATTGAAGTGTGTGTTGCTTTTGTCTTTTTTTTTAAATAAAAAAATAAAGACGTTGACAAATCTTTGTAATGCGAAACTAGAGCGCAGCTCTTGAGGAGGAGCGGAGAGCATAGAAGGAGGACACAAGGAGGGGAGGGTACGGAGGAGGCGGGCCGCGGGAGGACATACCCTCCCCTCCATAGCCTCCCCCTCCCCTCCTTCTCCTCAAGAGCTACGCTCTAGTTTCAAATTACAGATTTGTAAACGTCTTTAATTTTTTTATTAAAAAAGAAAGACAAAAGCAAGGAGGAGAAGGGTATGTCCCTCCGCCTCCTCCGCACCCTCCCTTCCCTCATCCTATCCTCTCCCATTTTCCTCCCCTCCTCCTCTCCTCGTGCCGCTGAATTTGTTCATGGGCGACGTGACACGAAGTCGAGACGTCATTTTACCCACTAAATTTAGCGAGGAAAGTGGATTGGTGTGGAGGTCACGTGACGTCATTTTTCCCGCTAAATCTAGCGGGGAAACTGAATTGGTGTTTAGGTCACGTGACGTCGATTTCCCCGCTAAATTTAGCGTGGAAACTTAACACGCTGAAGTTAGCGGGGAAATGTTCCTCACTAAATTTAACGGGGAAATTCGGGCACGTGCACCCCGAGCATGTGTCGGCACCGAGGGCTGCGTGAGCGTTCGGTGAGGACTCCAAGACAACCGCACGCTCCGTGCCCAAGAAATGGCGACAGCCAATGTTGCACGATGGGGTCTTGAAAAAGGTCCATTTGCGAAGAGAAAGGATTACTTTCTGTCCGGCAGAACGTACGTAAAACTGTCGCGCATTCAGTTTGGTCCTCGCGTTCTTCACCACCTCGGGAGGGCACGGGGCTCCGGCCATCGTTCCTGTGGAGAGAGTCGCGTGTGAGTCAGTTGCGAGTAAAGTCTGCCGGTCTCGTCTCATTCAGGAAGACCTAACCAAGTAACGTGTAGCCACCGCGCGGGCGGTCCTGTGGATCGCGAGGTGTGTGAAGACCGTAGGATTCTATACGCCTTCACAGTCCTCGAACGGGGTTTGTGTGGGAACCCATGGGTTCCACAGAGTACTCTGAGGGGAGGTTCCCAGGGCTCCCGAAATTTCCTCAGCCGTCCCTGCCTAGTGTCCTTCCAGTTTAAGCACTACCTTAAAAAAATCTGAGCCCCGCATAACAATGTTCCAGACATTCTCCATACTCAGTTTCACTTTAAAGGCTGGTTCACACATAGCGCGGAGCGCTCAGTTAGCGCTTCATGAGCGCTGGAAACAGCGATCATGTGGCACCGACTTGCGCCTGACGTAGCGCACGGTTAGGGCTTCAGAAGCGCTTCAGTAGGCGCTCGGCTAGCGCTTCAGCAGAGCAGTGTAAGCGCTTTCAGGCTCCTTGTGCCGCGCTTGCTGCTGCGGAACAGCGCGTGCACGGCGATTCCGTTGTTGTTGTTTCTCCTTTGGTGGTGAAAGAAGAGGAAGTATAAGAGCCACTTTCCAAGCAAGGGGTCCGGCAGACGATCCACAGTCATGGACTCTGAGCGACTGATTGATTGTGTATGACCTCATCGCTTTCTATTCGGTATGCGTGACCCTGGTTTCAAAGACACACAGTTAAAAAATAATGGCCTTCGATAGAGCTCTGTGTCTCGGTCCCTCATCCTGGGAACAATTGGTTCGCTTCGCCGGATACCCGTCGGTATCTCGGTGGCGAAAGATTTCGCGCACTCAGAAGGCTCTTCTGGGCTTTAAGTCGTCCACATACATACGCACTAATTGTGTATGCAAGAGCATTTGTCGCGTTTCTCCTTCAGCGCCCCACATGTCCCCCATGATACCGCTGATGCAAAGCCAACCACAGGAACCGGAACCGCAGTGCCCGCGCCAATCCGCAGAATAACCGCCGTACAAAAAGCGCTAACAAGGCGCTACTGAAGCGCTAACAAGGCGCAACTATACTCCGTTTCAGCTTCGGTCCAGACGCAGCCGATGCTACAAGCGCGAGCATGTAGCCCAGAACAGTGCTTGCACTGCACGAGCGTGCTGCTTGGCAGGGATGCTGAAAGCCCGGAGCTCGCGCTTGTAGCTTTGGCTGCGTCTGGACCGAAGCTGAAACAATGTATAGAGCCACTGTATATGGCAGTGTAGCTGCCAGAGTAGCGCCACGCTTTTCCCTGTGCCACCCCTCACCGCGATTGGTCACACGCGGTGCCATAGCAATGAGCCGAGCTCGCACCGTGCCCACACAACCGAGTGACTACTCGTCACGTGACCTCGCAAGAGCCGTGATGTCAGGAGTAAGATGGCAGCGCCCAGAGCTGGTGGATGCGAGTTTGTTCTGTGTGCGGTAGTCGTAATGTGCCACTGCTTGCCGACGATTTCGGACTTCTTCGTGCTCTCTGAAGCGTGTTTCACATGCAGCGATTTTGGCCCTAGAGCGGCGCGATTTCTGCCGTCGCGGCGCTCGTGCCGCTTAACCGCTGGTGCTGGCCAGACCGCCGCAACGGCAAAAATCGCGCCGCTCTCGGGCCAAAACCGCTGCTTGTGAAACACGCTTGACACAGGTATAACGTGAAGATCCTAAAAAATTAGACTTTATACTTGTTCTGTGCAAGATCGCTCTTGATATTAGCACCTGTGCGACAGCATCAGTCACATCGCCGTAGCGATGCTCGGATTCCCGGATGTGTTCGAGGATCGATAAGACTTTTAGCGTGCAATTTTCGCATATTCTTGGCTTTGTTCCAACGTTGGAGTGTCTGAGAATCGATGCAAAATGTATGCGTCGCATGTTGGGTCTTGGGGAACTTGTTTCAGCCCTAGGTAACCCGTAACCGTATAATCACAGAAACTTTTAGCGAGGCAGCTCCTGCAATTTCACGTTTTGTACTAATCAACGATTTTACGATATAGCTTTTGGGATAAAATTTTTGCATTTTGCTAGCTTTCTTTCAAAGTTTGAATTTCTGAGAACCGAAACGAAAGGCGTACGTCGCGTGTAAGTCCCAGGGGAAGCTCTTTCAGTTCTGGGTCACCGAATGATCACAGCAACGTTTAGCGAGGAAGCGCCTGCGATCTTTAACCCTTTGTTCTAATCGACGATTTTACGAATCAGCAGTTCTGAAGATTTTGATATAACGTGCTTTCGTTGCAATGGATGGCATTTGATCGCAGTGTTTTTTTTTTTTTTTTTTTTTTTTCAAGTGACAAACTGGCGTTTGCTCAAATTGTGAATATGAAATGTCCTTCAATATGACAATGCATCAACACATACTATAAACTTAAGGCCCGTTCACACGATGCATTTTTCTCGCGCATCTAGTGTCGCGAAACGTAGTCTCGCGAAATGGTTGCGCAGTCTGAACGAGTCCGAAAAGGACGCGCGCATCTAAAAAAGTTGCGCGCACACCTCGCTTCTGGAGCGAGCTTTTGCTGAAACTTTGCCGAGTCCTGTCAATCACTCTGAGGGCGCCGCCAATGGCCGCTCAGAAACGCTCTCACGTGGCCTTTGAGGGGGGAGCGAGCTGTTTGAGAAGACCACTTCACTGCCGGTGGTGTAGCCGAGCCAAATCCGAAAAAAAAAAAACACGAAACCACGAACGATGGATACTGCCGGCGCTTCCGCAAGCACGTCAAGCACCACTGAAGGAAAAGTGAGTAGCATATCGGAAAAAAATCCAGCGATGGACGAAGACGTAATTGGTGATGATGATAATTCGCGTCTATTTTTAGCCATAATTAAGAAATAAAACCTTGAGACAAGGAAACAAAAAGGGACGTACACAGATAAAATTAGCGCAAACGCCAGTTTGCGCTAATTTTATCTGATCATGTTTTATCTTATCACGTTTTATCTGATCTAATTTTATCTGATCATGTTTTATCTGATCATGTTTTATCTGATCATGTCTAACCAACTAGCCCAACAGATGATATTGACGTACACAGTACCGTCTCAAAACCAGCACAGCGTACAGCTCTCATTTACTTCCACAACAGTCTTCTTCTTTGTCAACCTCCATCCAAATTATACCTATTCAACAGTAAATAAAGTAAATGGCAGTAAATGACAATTCAACAACTAGTAAATGACAATTTTAAAGTAAATGGAAGTAAATGACAGCTGTATGCTGTGCTGGGTTTAAGACGGTGGTGTGTATGTCCCTTTTTGTTTCCTCTTAAGGTTTTATTTCTTAATTATGATTGTTCACCAGCTCGCCTGCGTTTTGACTCTTAGAATGTGGCGGGAGATGGAGAACACGACGCTGAATGGCTAATGGTGATGATGATGATGTTGGCTTTCAACTGAAGCGCCGCTTTATGGTCAACACCCAAACTATTTTCGCGAGTCTAAACGTCATCGTTGTTGCACGTGAAGCGGTACGTGTGAACGAGCACATTTCGCGAAACTTGAGTGTCGCGAAACTGTTGCGCGCCTAAAAGATGCGTCGTGTGAACAGACCCTTAGATGCTCAGAGGTGTGTTCGTCTTTGTAATTAAAGAGTTACAGACAATTATTTCTTACGAGTGTAATATTTATTTTCTGTAGCTAGGCCCATTTTGTGCTCATTAATGTCAGTGTGCTATGATGTTAACATGTGCTTATGGTTCTAAATATCTTCTTTGCAATGCCTACAAAGGCCGAAATTACGTCAGCCGACCCCAGCTCACGTATTGGACATGAAAACTGCGTCATTAGGACGTATGCGCTCGTCAACAATCAATTCGTCGACGAATATTTGAATTTGCGTTCGTGGCCAATGAGTGCCCTGACGGAAATTATCATCACTTGTGAATGCCAAGTTCTATGGTGTAATTAAAACGCACGGTGGAAGCTTGGGGTCATCGCACCGGTGCCCTGGCATGTCACGACCGCGTGATTTCACAGTTCCCTTATGAGTTGAGAATTATAGCGAAGGAAGAAGAAGTTAAAAAACTATTTCATGGCTCCTTTATTACGGATATGCGTGCTACACCAGATAAAATATTGACTTTTTGCATGCCGGTCAACTTCCGGACGACCACTTGGCCTGTCGGCAAGAACACCTCATATCCGGCGTCCGTCTCTTTTGATGGCGTGAAAAATCCTCTGGAGACCACCATGCTGTTCTCCTTGGTTTAACCCCGTTGACTGTTCATAGCCCAAACGACGGTGAGACCGTCGTCGACGTCGCTCCTCGCCAGTCGGTGAGATAATCTCATCTTGAATGGATGATTGGTCCTTGAAGTAGCATGATGCTAAGCATTTATTCGTTTACTATGAGGCAGTCGAGCAGCAGTCATGTCCCGAGGAAATCGTCCTGTCGTGGCCGGCGTAATCGGAGTTTGTTCCATAAGAGCGAAGTCCGAAAGTAGAAGGACGGTACGTACGTCCCACGGAGCGGCCGCCATCCCGGAGGCGCGGAAAACCATTCGCCTTGTCAGTGCCCCTCTATACGATACTTAGCAGCTCTCGTCGCCCGAGGGTCCCCGGGCAGCAAATCAGTGTTGCGGAATGGGCACCCCCCTATTCCATTCCAATTCCATTCCGGGGAATTAGAGTTTGCGATAATTCAATTCCTTTCAGCTCCTAGGAATGGGGACACTGGGCCCATTCCCACTCCTGGAATGGCTGAATCGTTCCATTCCATTCCTCTAATTCCTAAACGTAGAAATTAGCTCTTGGCAGATACACTGTGTTGCCGGTATAAGCACCATAAAGCTGACATTATCAAACACATAGACAATTAAAACAAAATACAAAATGCCTAAAAAAAAAGTTCTGATTTTACTAAGCGGAGCGCTGGTGGCACAAAGTGTTTGTTAACATTGTACTGCAAACACCGAGAAAGCCCCTTGATATGTCGATGCTTGTTTAAAACATCGGTCTTTCGAACAAATCGTATCACTTCACAGAAGAAACAGGCACCGTTACTCCCGAGGCCCGTGCCGTACCACCATGCCAAGCGTCTTTTATCACTTTTCAATGAACGAATGGAGATATCAAATAGAAAAAAGCGTCGCTAGCAGCACGGTTAACATGGAAACCTACCAGGCCCAAAATGGAGATCACTATCGGTGCATCTAGATAATTTTGCGCCGTGTCGCTACTCTGGCAGCTACGCTGCCATACACAGTGGCTCTAGGCGCTACAAAAGCGCTAATTGCGCGATATATTAGAACGAAGTCACGCGCTAGGAAATGCCACATGAGCACTCTTTGAAGCGCTCACGTACAGCTAACTTAGCGCTCCGCTGTATGCGTGAACAGGCCTTCAGTCAGACCGCGGCCGACTCTACGATCTCAAGGGGCCAATCAAGTCACGTCAAAATTGCATCGTCATCGCGGCCATTTCCTTTTGCAGATTTACTATCACGCACAGAAGAAAGTGCGCGATAGCGGCGTTATCACTTCGCGTGATTGGTATTGCGAGTGATAGAAAACGCACAAAAAATATAAGCGCCATGACGATGCACTTTTGGAGCCGTTTAATTCCATCTTCCCCCTCCCCTAAAAAAAATAAATCTTGGCTACGTTGTTGCTCTGGGCCAGTCCAAAACCGGTTGTCAGGGTTCGTGCATATGACAAACGGTCCGATTGGCCGGCGCCAAGGTCAAGTGCGGCGTTGGCCAATCACGGCCGCAAGATATTTCGCCGAATTTGTCGCCAAGTGTCCAGATTAGGGCCACTGAGCTGCGATATTGTGGACATAAGGCGGCTGCATACTGCCTCTCAGGTTTAGTTTAAAACGTTGTCAAAGCTCTTGATGCAAGCAAGTGGCCGGATTACATTGGCGAGTGCTGGCCGTACCCAGCGAACTCGCGTACGTTGTATTCTCGTCAAGTTGATTGAGCGAGCGTTAAGGTAATTACTACGTAGAACTGTATCGTAGTGATCCGCATAGGCGCAGGTTGTTCACGCGGCGGAGAAGCTAAAAAGATTTCGTGCATGCAAAAGTTGGTTCCTCACCTTTTCGAACGGATGAAACATCGTATTCTCCTTGTTCCAATTGATTTATCATGTCAATATACATGGTGGGTGTCCCGTACAAAAGCGTGCACCTGCGATAAAAATTAAATAAAATTATCCACGCCTCGTTTCACTGCTGGTTCTCGCGCGCTCTAAAAATCGCCTAGTACCCGCAGATCATGTGGAAATCAAATTACTGTAAAACCCTTGATGTTTTAAGGGCACGCGAAAGTTTCTGTCCTGAACAGTGTTTTACATGCAGCGGTTTTGGCCCTAGAAAGGCGCGATTTCTGCCGTCGCGGCGCTCTGGCCAGCACCAGCGGTTAAGCGGCACGAGCGCCGCGACGGCAGAAATCGCGCCGCTCTAGGGCCAAAATCGCTGCATGTGAAACACGATTGAAGGGTTTCAATGCAGGCGTCTGGAATTCGCGAAATATAGTGGCCGCAATTATGTCCTCTGTAACCGATTCGCAAAAAATAGAGGCAGCTAAAAAAAAAAAAAAACGTTTTACAGTGTTATTATTAAAGAGAAACCCAAGAAAATGACGAAACTCAAGAAAGGCATTGGCCAGTGAAATATTCTTCTAGCTTGTGGTAGCGCACGCATACTGAAATTCATCCGGATAAAGTGCGGCATGAACAAACAATCGAGCTGCTTTTAACCGCTATGCAACGATAAAAGTTATCCTCAAAAAGTGTTAGAAAAGATCGTCCGCAAAGCGCGAAACAGAAGGTGGGAAACCACGCTGTCGTTTTCTCTATAACGTTTCTCACGTGACCTTGTAAGTAGAGTTGCCGGCATTGATCGTTCGTTCCGAAAGCCAGGAACAGAGCGACTAAATACGTTCAGAGTAACGACACTCTATTTCCGGGCTGTCTTCTGGGTGCCGCCATTCTGTGTGCAGTTTTGTGGGCAGAGCGGGTGCGATGTCGATGGGGACAATTTTACAAAGGCAATACCGCTGTCAGACGGGCACGTTATAAAGGCCTTCAGAACGAACTCCTTCAAAAGGACGGCAAATCAGTGCTCGCCGCTAAACGCAAGACCGGGAGCTAATTCGCCGATTCTGTAAAGAATTTCGTTCTGGAGGCCTTTAATGTGCCCGTCCGACAGGGGTAGAATCCCTCATCCTTATGGCGCGTTTACCCTTGCGGATTCGCGGGCGAATCCGCGCAGGCGGGAAGTGGATTTTGGAGCCGAGTGGCGAAATCGACTTGTCGCTGGAGGAAAATCTGAAGCAGTCAGAAACCCACAATCAGATTTTCCGCCAGCGACGGGTCAATTCCGCCCACCCGGCTCCAAAATCCACTCTCCACCTGCGCAGATCGTTTCGCGATTCCGCAAGTGTAAATGCGCCATTAGAGACGGTGTCAAGAAGTTCAGGCGGTTTCGGTTTACTTTGTCGCGGACTGCCAGAATATTTATGGAGGATGGAGGCAACACGTTTACATACAATAATGCTGCATGTAACTGTGACAACTATAGAATTAAGGCACATGATAGCTGAAGTCCAGTTACTCCGAAGCTTAACGCATTTAGCGGCTCAAGAGTGTGACCTCACCTGTGCTTTGTGATGGCTTCTAAAGAAGCCTTTGCGTTGAAGCTGGGCGCGGGCATCACCGTGGTGGAGCCAAATCTGACGGCGGCCAACGAGGCTCCCACGCAGCCGTAACAGTGGATCAGGGGTACGTTGAGGCAAAATGATTCATCCTGCAAACAGAGAATAAAGAAAAATCATTAATAACGTTTTTTTTTGTTTTGTTTTTCTTTGTGAGAGCGGTTTTGATCGTGGTTTCGAAGAGTTTCGCGCACCACGATGTTATTAAAGGGGTACGGAAACAAAAAGACGTGACCGCGAGCTTTCCACCTCTCGCTTCAAAATTGGCCATTGAGAAGCGCAACGCGTATCGCGATCGTGACGTCAACGGCTCCTGCGCTGCCAAGGCCTCCGAAATGTTTCGCGCGCCCTGCTCCGGTCTGTCTATACGCTCGGCTGTCCAGCAGAAAAAGCGAGCCGAGTCACTTCTCTAGATCTCCACATGCGGTGCTTAGAACTAAACCAGAAAAACCAGAATCGGAAAGAGAATGACCTCAAAACACGCTGTCTAGTGTGAGCCCGCGGCATGAAGCTTGCATTTTCATTGTTCTCGTCATTAGAATAGAGACAGACAATTCGATCTAAGTTCATTCGTAATTTTTACTAGCTGATCTTGTCTTTGCGCTGTTTTTTTGGATGATGACTCAGAATGCAACACTTAGTGCGAATGCAAATAGGTCCTCCGCGGATACTGTCTGGGCTGGCGGGACAGACATAGAAATATCTTTTTCATCATGCATGAGAGCAGCTTTCTGAACTTCATTTACGTGCACGGACCATGGCCATTGAAGCTTTGAAGAGATGAACATTCAAATTTCGATCAACATCTTCCTTGCCAAAGGTCTGTGTGATGCGCCGAGAGGCGGGGAGCACATTTCGCGCTGTTCCTAAGTTCCGTAGACCGACGAGAATGGTGATGATGATAATTCGCGGCTATTTCTTTGCATTGTTAGATTTGGTTGTGAGCGCTACCAAGCGCTCCGCAGCAAGTCTCTACAGGCGAATGCGACGGCCTGAGGAGCGCTGTCAGCGTGGCAAAGATCTCGGAGGCCATGCCAAGGGTACTGTAGTTGCGAGCGTTGCCGTTTGGTGTCGTCAACGCGTGACAATATCGCTTAGTAGTAATATCCGAGGACTGTTCGCTCTATGACCTATACTGTACATAGATGTTCCGTAACATCATTCGTAGCAATTCCGGTTCTTTACGTGTCACAAGCCTTCAATTCACCGTCTTAGTTCCACAGCGCATAAGTAATAGCTCGAGGGAACCAGTAACTACAAGGAACCATCAGTAACCAGCAATGGCGATACATGCAAGCCATGCATATAAGGTATTTACTAGGGGCCATATTTAAGCGCGCTATTCACAGCGCATTCCGGGGGGTATGGTTGGCATGGCAGAGGTAGAGCTACTAAATGAGCTGCGCTTAGAGTATCGACACTCTATTCCCCGACATTGCTGTGGGCGCCGCCATTTGGGTTCGTATGCAGAGCAGGCGCAACTGCTGACCGTCATGACTCAAAAGTTCGACTTCCTAAGCATTAGATTTGATGTTAGGAAGGTCGTGTAATATATCTTTGCTCTGTCGCGAACTGTTAGAACATTTGTGGAGGGCGGAAAAGCGTTTCCTGTGATTTCAAAAAAAAGCTTCAGATAACTGGCAACCACGATTTAAAGACAATATGGCCAAGTGTCGTTATTCTAAAGCATAGCTTATTTAGTGGCATTAGTCAGAGGTACACGCATTCTCAGATTAAGCTCCTACCTAACGTCTGCAAAGAACGGCGATCTCGATCATGTGGAATGCACGTTGCGGGAGCACTGTGGAAGCTTTAACGTGCGCAGTGTAGAGAACTCGTGAGCGTCCTCCGCCACGTCGCACTCCGGGCTAAGTAACACCAAGAGCGAGTCATTCTGCTGCGAACTATATAGCGCAGTTTCTTAGAGGCCAATGACGAGGCGGCGTTTCAACGGAGCTTCACAGACATACACCAGGCGCAATCTTGAAATCTATTAACTCGTTTTGAAATTAGTTTTTTTCATTTCTGTCGGCAACCCAGAAATACTATACTTCGTTTCAGCTTCGGTCCGAGCGCGGCCGATGTTATCAGTCAAAGGGCCAATCACACAGCGCAAAAAGCGCAGCGTCATGGTGTGATTGGACTAGCCAGCGGAGGAGCGCGCAGAGAGAGACGGCGAATACCGGCTGGTCCTATCAACTGCAGAGAGGACGCCATGACGTTTACCTTCTTCGCTGTTTGATTGGCCCTTCGGCACATAACATCGGCCGCGCTCGGTCCTAAGCTGAAACGAAGTATAGTCTAGACTTGATTCTGGGCTGCTGCCACAACATAGACCATATCCAAACAAAGAAATAGGGGCAAAATTTTAGTTCCATACCCCTTTTACGGTTTGTTTGAAAACAAGGAGCCTAAAAGCGGCCGGAAAAAGAAATTGTACAAAAAAGTGCGGGAAGAAGGAGGAGGAGGAGAAGAGGGGGGGTGGGGGGGGGGGGGGGAGCAGACCCATTGCAATTGCTGTTAATGCACGAGTTTCGATGCGAACGGCAGTTAATTTAAGGTATGTTCACACATATATAGCGCAATGCTTATTTAGGAAACAGCGCAGGCGTAACGCTAACTTGAACGTAACACGGCGCTTTATCAGTGGTGCAACGCGTGGTCAGCGTTGTATCAAAAGGTCAGCGTTATTTCCCGCGCTGAAAATAGCGCTAAGGTAGCGTTGTAGTATATACGTGCGAACAGGACTTTATAGTTATTAAATTCCTACAGAACTCAAAGTGAAAGGCGCAGTACTTGCTCACGGAGTCCAAGTGTGCGGCCGATCAAATCGGCGTTGTTGACGACGTTGAAATGGGAAAGCTGCGCTGCTTTGGGGCGTCCCGTGGTGCCCTGCGTTCAACAAGAAGAAAACCGAAATCATGAGTCTGTTTGGTCATGCATCACCTTCATTGTGGCGTTGTCATCAGCAGGTAAGAAAGAAAATTTATTTGTTCTTTAAACAGAGGCATTTCCGACCTAACCTTTACCCTAGTTACACGAGCCAAGGACAGTTGGTATTTTGGAAGTCCCACTGAGCTCAACTGAGTTGCACGGTGTTACACGGTACATAGGCCTAACAACCCCAACTTTTGATACCTCTTGACACCGAAACGCAACCAAAACTGATGTCACATTAGCTTTTTTTAAGAAGTGATGCAAATGAATTATACGCACACTTTTCATTCATTGTAAACGTTTAAAAAATTAGCTCTTCTATTTTTAGAGTAAAAAAACAACGATAATCAGAATAATTTACATAACGAGAGTTTTATCGGCACCAAAATCGCAATGGCCGCCCACCCCTGATTACGTTTGGCCAGTTAATCGCTTTGTTTCATATTTATGATGCCACATATCTACGATCCGAGCAAATAGTATCGCAAACACTGAGATCGGCATCGGGTTTTGTGTAAAAGTATTCTAGATACGCATACCGATGTAAACTGAATGTTGATCGCTTCGTCGAACTGCAGCTTGGAGGAGATGGCGTGCATGGCGGCGTGGTGCTCAGCCGTCACCGACTGCATGAGGTCGTCATAGGTCACCGTACCGCTGCGGGAGACGCGTGCGTTGGTAAACCGGCCGTTAAGACAAAGGCGAAGTAAGAGCATGACAGAAACAACGAAGTGCCTCCCGAAATGCAGACTGTCTTTCATTCGAATGTTTCACTGGTGATCATATTATACGACACTATATAATGTCTAACAGTCGTGTCTTTTATGCAATCTTTAATCTTTAGCGAATTCTGAGGCGATCTTTGCTGTGACATTAAATGAAGTTTTTCTTTGTCCCTTGGAGCGAGCTAGGGCTTTCCAGACGATATGTGAAATTTTTTAGGATTCGACAACACGGAGTCATATGGTTACGCTCCAGGTATACGTATTCGTATAAGCGGTCACTCCTTATTCGCACCTTCCTACTACTTCTAATTGGTGTCCCTTGAACTATTTATTTTTTAACACTAATTATATGTTTCTGAAGAGATTAACGGCGTTTGGACTCCGTATGATTCCCTTTTGCCCTTAGAGTGTATAGAAAGGTAGGATTGATAAGATCCAAAGAAGCAAACGTATCGCACATATCAATGCACTCACGGCTTCGAGGTTTCGCCGATTAAAATGACGTGTTTCAGAAGCGGCAGCCTAGAAAAAAAGGAAAAAGAAAGAAACATTTTTGATAACGCACGCAGGTGTCGTCGTTCTCTTCCGCTAATGGAGCTGATAACGAGCTATCTCACCTGGCGCTTTTTAGTTGTCCCAGAGCCGACCTTTCCAATTCCGGCGCTATCTGGAGCAGCATTTTGTAAAAATCCTGTCTTGCGAACTTCTCTGCCACAATGAGCGCCGCGCACTCTGTCTGAGGAAAATACATACATCCGGGGATGAAATTACATGTTCGTTCGATTCACTTTATTCACACCAACGTATTCATACGCGTCTTGGTCGCGATCGTTGGTGATTCTACATCAAATCATCGCCGTCGAAAGAAAAAATAAAAAGAAAAGGAGTTTTGGTTGTTTCCTAAATCTTTTCGATCATCAGCATCGCGGTATCAAAAACATATATTCTACGCCGATACCTTGCCGAGGTTTAAAATATTCTGACGTGGTTTTGTTCATATGAACTACATGATGTAATCGCGACATAATGATTATTTTTCTTCATACCTTTCTAAATGGCAGGGAAAATTTTTATTCGAGTTTTAAATAGTCACAGTTCAAAACTCGCAAGCTGAAACTCGCAATTTTCGGGCCAGGTGTCATTCACCCGAAAGCGACAATTTTGCTTTCTGTAAATAACCACAATCTAGATGGAAATGTCGAAATCTAATACGAAACACGGCAATATCCCCCCGTTCCCCCAAAATAAATAAATAAATAAATAAATAAATAAATAAATAAATAAATAAAATAAATAAATAAATAAATAAATAAATAAATAAATAAAGAAAGAAAGAAAGAAAGACACATATTTGTGAATTCAACGTATTCAAGGTGTTTTCTTTTTAGCTTTACACATTAGTTTTAAAAAAGCCATGAGAGCTACATTTACGCGGTTTGTGCAGGTGAGTTATACGGCAAGTGCGACATTGTATATGAGGCTAATCGTAACGATGAGTTGGTTAATTAGTTAAAATTTGTTAACTAACTTTTTATTTAGTGAAAAGAGACGTATAGTTTCAATCAAAACATTTCTAAACGCCATCAAAAACCACTAAATGAACTCTTTTTAAAAAGATATAACACTGGGACAGCATTTTACGGCGTTCCGTACAGGAACGCTCCATTTGGACGTGTTTTCAGGTTTCGGTTTCTTACCGGAGCGCATCTCTGCGCCCGATGTCCTGCTCACCAGTGGCTGAGACGCGCATCACCCGCGTCCGCCCAACTTCCCCTGGACTTGACACTCACGGAGAGGGATGCCATCGATCGCATCATCCGCTGCGTATACAAGAAAGCGCTTCACCTAACACCTTCAACAGAGACCAAGCGACTCGAGAAGCTTGGGCTTCACAACACCCTCTCGGAAATCATTGAGGCACAGAGGATAGCCCACTACGAAAGGCTATCTCTGACTACAGCGGGAAGAACCATCCTCACATCTTTGGGCATCAACTACCACCCAACAGGGCACAGTACGCGAGGCTGGCTTCCAAACGAGCTACGCGAGCAACTAAAGATTTCGCCTCTGCCTCGTCACATGCATCCAGTGCACGACGCAGACAGACGCATGGCCAGAGTGAAGGCTCTGGAGAACACTCTACAGCAAGGCTGCGACGACTCCGAGGTGACCTATGTCGACGCAGCCTCAGCTGACAGGGGTCGAATGACCCTTGCAGTTACGAATCGCTCCGGCCAAATCCTCACGGCAGGCAGCATGTACACCAGCAACAGTGCAGAGGCAGAGGAGGCAGCCATCGCCTTGGCCCTCACCCTCAGCACCACGAAAGTCATCGTCAGTGACTCCCAGATGGCCATCCGCCAGTACATGCGTGGTCACATCTCTGACAAAGCCCTCAAGATCGCCACTGGTCATCGTCTGATTGACCACCCAGTCCGCATACTGTGGTCTCCAGCCCATGCGTCACTCCCAGGCAACGAGAGTGCTCACAGTGCAGCCTGCGCTCTTACCAACCGGGCTAGCACACCAAGTGAGCACTCGACCTCCGCCACGTGGAACCACGACAACCTCTACACCTTTAAGGGGGTGCTGGACCACTACCGAGTAGAACGCCGAACCTACCCAGAGGCTCACAGCACTCTCAACAAGGCAGAATCCACCATCCTCCGTCAAGTCCAGACGGAGACCTTCCTCAACCCGGCGCAGTTGTACTCGTGGTACCCAGATACCTACGACCCGTCTTGCAGGAACTGTGGCGAGATCGCTACACTCCACCATATACTCTGGGGGTGTCCGGAGCTGCTTCTTCATTCGAAGAATAAGGAGTTCATCAAGCAAGCCAGGCAACCAGGCGCCTGGGAATCCTTCCTGCGGGATCCTGACCCCACGACTCAGAAAATTCTAGTCCAGCTGGCCTCGGACGCCGCCGGGAACATCGCGTTTCGTCTGTCGACCGAGGGGATCGCTTCGTCAAGGGTCTCTCTCTAAGAGAGACTCGGTTGACGCGGGGATCTAACAGTCTTGGACCCAATAAAGTTTACCTCACCTCACCTCACCTCACCTCCGTGCGACGAGGGAGGCGAGGGGGTGGCTTCGCGCCGCGACCATTGGGGAGCAGAACCGCGGGCGCAAAGATGCGCTCCGGTATGAAACCGAGCCCTAGAAACGCGTTAAAATTGAGCGTTTTTTAGAACGCCGTAAAATGCTGCCGCTGCGTTATGTCCCTCTAAAAAGTGCAGTACAACAGGCTAGCGGTTGTACAGCACTGTCTAAATTGCTCATCTACAGCTGGGAGACTCGTCGCCCTTGGAGGCAGACCAAGTTCCAGGCTGTATAAACATACACACAACCCATTTTGTTTTCCCTCTAAAAAGAGTTGATTTAGCGGTTTTCGATAACGCTCAGCAATTTTCTAATTAGAATCATATGTCTGCTTTCGCTAAATAAAAAGTTAATGCACAAATTTTAATTAATTAGCCGACTGATCGTTACGAGTAGCCTCATGTACCATGTCCCCCTTGCCGCATAACTCACCTGCACAAACGGCACAAGTGTAGCTCTAAAAGGCGTTGATATAATGGTTTTCGATTTATTTATTTATTTAAAATACCCTCAAGGCCATCGGAATTACAGAGGGGAGGGGGTGGGGGGGGGGGGGGGGTAGTGGCAGTAGTACACTTTGCAGCTCAATCTGAGCAGTATAGAATATTTATGGCAGTTCTAAATAAATGGTCAGGAACAATTGTTGCGATAGATGCGGGAAGGTGGTTCCAATCCACTGAAGTTTTCGGAAATATGCTTAGCAAGTTTCTAATTTGAACTATGTTTTTTTTTCTCCGGTTAAAAAGTTAATCAACAATTTATACCTCATTAGTCGGCTGATCGCTACGATATGCCAAATATACTATGACCCCCTGCAGCCGTATAACTTACTTGCACACTCTGCATAAGTGTAGCTTTCACGGCTTTCCTTAAAGAAATCTGCAAATCTTAAAAAAAAAAACGAAAAAAAAACCGTAGAGTAAAACAACAAACATATTCACCCTACAAAACGAGCTGTGGGTCTTTGTTATGTTCTAAGTAGATCGCCCTTACGAGTGAGATCTTTGTAGCACTACGATGGTCTACTTAAATGTGACAAATATTAATTGCTATCCTTTCTTGAGTCAGCTCCTATATGGAAGATGTTATGATCATTTAAAATAAATCCGTTATGAAATCTTATGACTTTGTCGTCCATCGGAAATAATTGTCGATGCCAAGAGAGCCGATATGAACGTAGTATACACAGTTACAGTTCCTCGCAAGAGCGACAGCTGCCGTAAACATCATTCTGGTGGCCGCCGATCATTGTGTTCCCACTCTCAACGGATTTGTAATAATGGGTCTATATGTGCCACAAAAACAGTGCTCCGATTTTAAATGTTTAGTTGATGAGAATAATAATAAAAAAACATTGTAATTTACAACGTCCTATTTTATTAAAAACCGCACGTATCAGTAACTGAAATCACGGCAGATCGGCGGAGGCCTCATGAATGCGCGCGTTTATATTTCAACAGCCATCGGCGTGAAAAATATGTTCGCACATGACGTGAACGACTCACATGGTTCAAGCAGAACTCAAGTTCTGAGACCTGGTAAGCGGTGTTCACGTTCACCTACAAAAAAAAAAAAAAAATAGAAAGTGGGTAAGGGCTTTTACTCTCCCCTCGGCATCCATCATGCCGAATTGATTCAGAAGCACTCACCAGGACAAGCCCCGCCTTGGCGGCCGCAAACATAGTCACCGCCCATTCATACAGGTTCGGTGCCACAATTCCGATTTTGGATCCAACGGGAAGTTGGAGAGACACCAGACCAGCCGCAAACTGGTGAATCTAAAAGATACAAAAAAAAAACAAAAAAACAAACAAACAGAGAAGCAGTTCTAGAGATGCAAGCAGAACTAAATCGTATTTGGTGCTACCACTCCCCCAAAAAAGCACACTCCTTAAATGTGGGTTGAATTAATATTGTAGTATGTAAACAGACCATACTGTGAGGCATATAGAAAAATTAAAGAGCACATGCCCGACCGGTGATGAAAGCGTAATTTTTAAACATTGTACAACTACGACTAATATTTATCCTGTTCATGTAGGAAGGCAATAAGACCTTGGCTCAAATAAAATAATAATGTGTATAAAAATCTACGGAGATATATATTTTTTTTTAAGAAACTTAGGAGGCTTATTATACTAACGTCGTTTCTGTATTCCGTGAACGTCTTGCTGATATTCTGGTGACAGGACACAACCGCTGTGTTGTCTCCCTTGACGTCTGCCGTCCTGTCCACCACTTCTCCCAAGGTCCATGACAGGAAAGGCTCCGTGCCAGGCTGGTGGTAATAGCTGAGATTCGCTAGTGATCTATATATTGACAGAAAGAACACATAGTCAGAATATTTATCAAAAAATAAACTTCTATCACCTTCACGTTGTGGGGCAGGTGCTGCATTTTGAGTTGCACGCAGATTCCCGACTATTGTACTCTCACTGGAATTCGCATTTCTTCTTGTGCGTTTCTTCCTCACGACTGCCAGGAAGCTTCCGCGTCGGTGAGCCATCCAAGGTAGTCCAATTTAATGTATAGATCACCCTTTTTAAATATTTTTGAACCTAGTGTAATGCCGTGTTCTTTATAAAACCAAGCGGCCGCTATTTCGTTTGCATGATGGGACCACAATTTGGTCTTTTTGTTTTAGGCAAGTTCACTTGGGAGGGTAGAAAAGTCCCGCCCCTTCGGTATCACCATTGTATAATATATCTTCCACTGCTGGATGAGTCAAGTAGCGCTGTCAGAGCCGTCTTTCGAGAGATATATATATATATATTTTTAAATTTATAAGAATTAGGGTTGTTGATAACGTTCCGCATTTTGGTGTACCCCTTCGCTCCACATATTTTAATACCGGAAGGTCGTTAGGGCAGTATACATAAGAGCTTATTTCACCATTGCACTAATTTATTAGACTACGCAACTAACTTTATAACTGCACTGTTCATCGAAACTTGTGATGGATGTTTGACTTAAAAATTTAGCACGCTGTCTGGTTCATGCTTCGTGAACCATTATTCCCATCTACTTCAGCGATTCTTAATGTTGTTGTAGAACACATCAAACCAATTTATGCTTAGTGAAAACAATTTTATTTATATCACTGGGGAAGGCCCGCGCATGTAACAACAAACTACGTATACCTTCTTTTTACTTTTTAGGTGCTCGCGAAATGAGAGCAACACGCGCTTTTTCACTTTCCCAATTTATTGTTCCGAACGGTTTTTGTCGGGTGTGTGAAACCTTGAAGGCCTTTTCACACATACAGCGAAAAGCTAAGTTAGCGCATCATGAGGGCTGGAATCAGCGCTCATGCGGCACCGACTTGCGCGTGACGTAGCGCTCGATTAGCGCTTCAGAAGCGCTCCAGTAGGCAGTCAGTTAGCGCTTCAGAAGCGCTTCAGTAGGCGCTTGGTTAGCGCTTCAAAAGCGCTTCAGTAGGCGCTCGGTTAGCGCTTCAGCAGCGCAGTGTAAGCGCTATCACGCTCCTTGTGACGTGCTTGTTGCTGCGGAACAGTGCGTGCACGGCGATTTCGTTGTGGTTGTTTTTCCTTTGGAATTTAAAGAAGAGGAAGTAAAAGAGCCACTCTCCAAGCAAAGGGTCGGACAGACGACCGTGAGTCATGGACCTTGAGCGACTAATTCATTGGGTACGACTTCATCGCTTTCTATTCGACGTGCGTGACTCTGATTTCAAAGACACGCAGTTAAAAAAATAATCACCTTCGAAAAAACTTTGTGTCTCGGTCCCTCATCCTGGGAACAAGGTTCGCCGGATACCCGTCGGTATCTCGGGGGCGAAAGACCTCGCGCACCCAGAAGGCTCATCTGAATGTTAAGTCGTCCATACACATATGCACTAACTGCGTATGTAAGAGCATTTGTCGCGTTTCCCTTTCAGCGTCCCACATGTGCGCCATGGTACTGCTGATGCATACCCAACCACAGAAACCGGAACCGCAGTGCACCTGCTAATCGTCAGAAGTAACCGCGGTACAAGAAGCGCTAACAGGGCACTACTGAAGTGCTAATCGCGCGCTATATTAGAAATAAGTCGCGCTCTGGGAAGCGACACATGAGCGCTCTTTGGAGCGCTCACGTAGCGCTGACTTGGCGCTCCGCTGTATGTGTGAACAGGCCTAAAGAAAGATCCCGAGAATCAATAAAGCTTTCACGGGTAGTTGGTATTATGAATCGTTGCCGTAATATTTTGCCGCCCAACATTAAGCTAAATATTTATCATACATTATTACGGTCCCGCTTAAATTACTGCCATCTTGTGTGGGCTAAAGTCACTGGATCCTGGGAAAGTAACGCCAAGCTCCCCGTGTGGTCGCCATCTTGGTCCGTGAAATGAGCAATTTCTCTTTGACCACTTCGTTCTTGGTGAGCCGATCTAAATTCGCTGGTGACGGGTAGCTTTATGGAGGCGTTTATTGTATACCGAGAGTTTGCTATCCACACACCGGTGAAACAAGCGCGCATATTTGTACCACCACCACATGCTGCGCCGGTGCTTGGAGGCACTGAAAAATAAGTTTACTGTCTTGAAATACGCAAGATAAACAATACAATAGTAAGAGATCCATGGAGATATGCATGATTAATAAGTTGATCGCATACGAAGTGCCAAAGACTCTTAAATTGGTGGGGAACGCTTCCAGTACGATGATGCTTCATGGTGATCTTGGCGCGACTGGTTTAGAACGACCCCCTGGAAGCTTCGAAGATTTAAATGGACCAAGATGGCGATTTCCATGGCAACCTAGACCAATTAGCCAATCACCTTGCGAGGTTTGGGTAGTGTGTATGTTAGTATCCGTTTGTGCCCGGCTAGCATGTAGGGAAGGCAATGGCGCTACTTTCCCAGGATCCAGTGACTTTAGTGTGGGCCAGCACGACCAAAACAAACGTTGATAACATATTATTGCTCCAAAAGAAACTTGTACATTATATTGGAGATGTTTCTTTTCATGACCCCACAGAACCATTATTTTCCAGATTTCAAATGCTTTATGCGAAATCCATGTACAAGTACCATTCGCTTTATAGAGTTCGTTTTTCCTCTCCAGCTCTTGTAGAATTTTCGGATGCTATTTCAGACCTTAGAAGGCGTGAATGCGTTGTTAGCAGGCGTCTGTTAAAAAGTACTCCATCGGTCTCGTACAAATTATGATTTGCAGTCCTTGCATTAAAAATAATATACCACTTCTGTTAAACAAGTGTATCACAAAAACATAAACACAATAAGTAAGAGAGCCCTTCGTTTGTACTTTTATAGCATTATACAATTTTAATGTGTTCTTGATTTGTTGCTGCTGCCAATTTAAAGGGATCCCATGCCTAGTCAATCTGTTTTTAACAGTTTTTTTTATGAGCTTTCTCACCAGAATTACTGAAAATAAAGTTTACTTGATTGATTGAAAGTTGGGCGGTTTAAAAAATATATTATAATAAAGTTAACGCCTCATCACAATACATATTTATTGCCTGGCACATTTTTGTTTTTGTTATCAGTTCAAATCAAAAGCACCGCGAAAGCAAAATCAATTAATACTAGAAACGTGCTCCAAAGGACATAAAAAAGTGTGGCACTGTTTTAACAAAACTTTTAATAAATTACAACAAAAAAGAAATCGCGAGTTTATCATTTAGGTTTGTGGCTGCTTCTCTAAAATAACGCGACTATACAGGTCGCGATATACTTGATAAAGACGATATAACTGAACCTGAAGGTATCATACCACAACGTAAAGCGGAAAAACAAGGGCAGGGTGATTATCATTATTACCTGGTTAAGAAAACGGTCCCAGGATAGCCAAAGAAACAAGCGTTTCGTGTAAGACTCGCTAAAATATTAGACTCTGGAGACAATCAGCTACCCGCATTACGTTTTTATTTCGGACTTCCTTCGTTCACGTTAATGCCATTTGGTTTGGCGCTATATAGCGACTGAAGCAAGAAACATTGGGCATGCCTTGGTAGTAGCGGCTGCATTGTTCAAACGTGAGCCATGCGCCGAGAAAGTGAGGGAGAAAGGGATATGAGAGCGCACGTAGACGTTAGGACGCCGAACTCTGGTTGGAGCGATTAGTGGGTACTTCATGTGTGCTTTGCTTAGGGTGGTGGCATCTCGCCATTTTATCCCACACCTTTATTTTTATTTTTTGTTCAGAAGCGCGTGAAAGAACGTGTCCCAGCACGCGTTTGTGGCGCTGACTGCGCTATGGCGACATTTTGTTTTTGTCGATTTCTTTCTAGTTTCCCCTTGAACGCGTGCTGTCGGTATCGGGTAGTACAAAGGGTGGAATCACCCTAAACAGAAGGACATTGAGGCACCCTAGGTAGACCTAAAGCTAGCAGCCTTTGTCTCCACATGCAATCGTCGAACGTGTTAAAAAGCGGAACACAGGCGTCTGGCGTTTGGCTCTCGCGTTCGGATGCGTTCGACGAGTTCTGTGGGAAGCTTTAGGTTTTCCGACGAATCCCTCCAATCAGAGCTCGGCGTTCTGACGTCACCGCGAGCTTTCGTTTCCTCCTCTCCCTCACCTTTACGGCGCATTACTTTGGTGGCGTCGCTTAGCCTAGCGTCTGAAGGAAGAAATGCTGGGTAGGCCAGGAAGCTGTGGGCGTATAGCTTGCTCCAGTACGGTGGAAGCTATACGGTCCCTGCGCACCAATCGGAACAACGGAGTGAGGCAGGTGACCACGTATTATCGGAGTGCGCCTTTACTGCCAAGAAAGCTTTTCGCGCTTCGTCAGGCTTCAATATATAGGTGTTGCGCTCGTATACGTAGAGCAGACCGAAGCCGTCGGAACGCAATGTAGGGCGTAGCGTTCACACTTCGCCAAGTTACGACGAGATAAGGTAAAACCGTGGTTGGTTATATGAAATCAGGATCCGAACACGCACCTCATTTCGCCACATCGCGTCTCCTTTTGCGGCAACAAGCAACTAAACTAGCAATGCCTCCTCCCCCTCCTTTTTTTTTTACCACCACACATACATATATAAATATAAAAAAAAAGATTGAGAAAGAATCCTGGTGAAGTGGGCGACACGTTTTGCTCCCAATTAGAAAATAATAATAAAAAAAATGGGATGCAATTATAGACCTATTGCCGAATTACTCCAGCATCAAAGACTACGCAGGGAACGTAGGTACAGTGTACTCAACTGTTAAATATAACGCGGGAGCGGTGGCCAGAGGGAGTCCATGCGTCACCTACCGGCTCACTCTGGCAGCTTATGCCGCTGTTGTTTTCTGGAGTTACACTCCCAGCTCCGAAATGATCACCCATGCATGACTCGGCGATAGAAAAAAAGAAAGAAATTTCGCCGCTCTTTGATTTCGTTTTTTGTTGTTTAAAGAAGGTAGCCTTCATCAGAGAAACTGCAAGATCACCGAGATATGGTAGCCCCGCATGGTAAATGCGTAGAAGTCAAAAACAACTAAACAAACAAGTAAAAATTTAAAGCATGGGTGATAAGGTGATAAAGAAAGAAACAAGGAGGTCATGCGAGAATTGTATCGGGAAGTGGTGACAACCGCAAGAACAGCGGCCTTATTCTCCGCCACATCATTGATTTAATCGCTAGACAGCAGCTCTGATATGAGTTTCGGTCACCGCTACCGCGTTATCTTTAACAGTAGTGCACAGTGTACACACGCTTGCGTCTGCTCCAGTAAAGCCTGAAAGATATTTGAGCCCAAATCGCGTCTCATCGCGTCGCCAAACAGCGTAACCATAGCAACCGTCACACGGGACGGCGCGGCATTGGGCACGTCATAGCGTCGGCGCGACGCGAATGTTGCTCACACGTGTTTCACGCTTAACTATTAAAAAGCAAAGCAAAAAAAGAAAAAAAAAACATAGATAGCACTTTTCGCGGGCGTCTCTCTCAATGCCTTATTTTGATAATTTACTTCGAATCTTTTATACAGGGAAGGCGACCCCAACAGTCTCTTACATTCTCTATGGTGCTTGGGTAATTTAGCAGAAGGTCTATTAGAGAAACCGTCCTTCGGGTGTTGTACCGTACGTGGTTTCGAATAACCGGCAGAACGACTTCACGTGCTGGTTGCTCGGCAGGTCAAGACGTCGAGGAAAACTAGGGCGGCCTTCTGGAAAACACGTTCGCTCTCTCCAATTTGTCATGCACGTCGCCACGATGACAATTTGCTAACACCAAGGTCACTTCTTTTTTCTCTCTTTCTTAGACGTGCGATACCTTGTCTCCAGGGCCCCAAGTTCAAATAGGCGAAGCAAGTTAAATCAGGCTTACACACATAAAGGCGTGCGGCTGTTGGTGATGACTGAGATTGACAAGGGAAATAATTGAGGAAGCCCAGCCTGTTTCCCCGCGATAAGTTCAAACAGCTCTCGATGTTGGACGATGTGGTGTAGCATGTAGACCGTAAACACTCCGCCACCATCGCTGCACAAGGACGACAGAATTCCACACATCAAACGTGAAGCTACCTGGGCTCAATCTTGCAAAGACAGTATGTCCGCCATTTTTTTCACTTACACTTGGTAGTTATTGCGCTACTGGTCAATTTTCACCAAAAACTGTGCAACATAAAAAAAAATCTATCAAGGTGAACGTTTAACACAAGCGTGGTAATTTCTAATCAGATCGTGACTTTCTGACCACCTCGTATATTGTACTGTCACCAGTTTATCCGGAGTGCCGGCGCGTCTACTTGCCATTGCAGCACGGAATGACATCTATACGATTAGAGATCCGCCGATGGAAGGAACCGACAACGTAGGGACCATGCTGCAAGCTCCGGGGGTCACTGGTGTGCCGTTCACGTGCTGAGTAGTACAGCGCAGCTCGTGTTTGGGCATCCAAATGTTAACTGGGACTACGCATTCTTAAGACTTTTCCAACAAAGTTCCAATATCGAATACCGCGCAGGCAACGCGCGGGCTTTTACAAACGGGAATAAGCAGGTGTTTGCTATATGAGCATAAAATTAGACAACACTTAACATTTTTCTTAAACGAGTGCTTACTCTAGGTAGAAAGTATTTTTTTTTAAATTAAATGGAACCCTCACGACGAAATGTAAGGGAGCAAGTGAGCTGATGTATACTGAACATTTTGAAGCGACCCGAGACAGGAACATGAAAAATGACACCAAGAGAAGAGAAGGAGAACGTCTCACACCCTCAAAGTTTTCTCGTACCTCTCACGGTCACATTGATTGTGTCAAGACGGCACTATGTCACACGGAGGCACTGAACACTACGGACAAAGAGTGATCGAGTTTAGCGGTGCCGAAATCTGGAATGATGTATACTTAGTATGTTAAGTGAAATGCAACTTTCTGGCATCTTTGAACACGATTTGCAAGATGCAAGCTAAAATGAGAGACTTAAGGCCTGTTCACACATACAACGGAGCGCTAAGATAGCGCTACGTGAGCGCTCCAAGGAGCGCTCATGTGGCGCTTTCTAGCGCGTGACTTAGTTCTAATACAGCGCGCGATTAGCGCTTCTGTAGCGCCTTGTTAGCGCTCCAGTAGCGCCGTGTTAGCGCTTCAGTAGCGCTTCTTGTACCGCGGTGCTGCGGATTAGCGCCTGCACTGCGGTTCCGGTTCCTGTGGTTGGGTGTGCATCAGCAGTACACGCATGGCGGACATGTGGGATGCTGAAATAGAAATGCGACAAATGCGCTTACATACGCGATTAGTGCATATGTGCGTGGACGGCTTAACGCCCAGAAGAGCTTTCTGGGTGCGTGAAATCTTTCGCCACCGGGATACCGACGGGTACCTGGTGAACCTTGTTCCTAGGCTGAGGGACCGAGACACAGAGCTCTTTCGAAGGCGGTTATTTTCAACTGCGTGTCTTTGAAACCAGGGTCAAGCATATCGAATAGAAAGCGATGAGGTCGTACTCAATCAATTATTCTCTCAGAGTCCATGACTCTGGTTCGCCTGCCCGACCCTTTGCTTGGAGAGCGGCTGCTTTACTTCCTCTTCTTTCAATGCCAAAGGAAAAATAACAACAAAGGAATCGCCGTGCACGCGCTGTTCCGCAGCAGCAAGCACGGCACAAGGAGCGTGAGAGCGATAACAAAGCGCTTCTGAAGCGCTACTGGAGCGCTACTGGAGCGCTAACCGAGCGCTACATCACGCGCTAGGAAGCGCCACATGAGCGCTCACGTAGCGCTGATTTATCGCTTCGCTGTATGTGTGAACCGGCCTTTATCACCCCGTGTTTGGTGTGTTGATGTTTAGAATGAAATATAATGAAGGAATGAATCAATGAATGACCGTCAAAACTCACCGGCATCGCTGGCGACCGTATCCAGTTTTCTCTTGCACGCTCTTGAGTCGACGAAGAGCGCAGGACAACGTGCGGCGGCTAAACGAGATCATCGCTGCAGCTGTTTCGGAGAAGCGGAATCCACGTTACACGCTCGCGTACGGCGGCGGCGGCGGGATTATTGACAACGTACGGAAATAGACGACCAGTCCGTTAATCAAGTCGACGAATCTGGCCGCGTGCGCGCTCTCGCGTCACGGCCTTCCTTTGGCGACCTCCGTCCGTCGTCGGCGGCTGCGGGATTGTGACGGAAGAGTTGTGCGGACTCGGCGATGGAGCGATTGGGCGGCGACTCGGCCAAGTCAGCGGAAACCTAGTGTGCCTAGATTGCGGAGTGTTTCAAACAGCTCGATCGGGGTCAAGTGGTTAATGTGCCGCGTTCGCGATACAAGTTGCGAGGAGGAGGCCGAAAGTGTCTGCTCCCCTTCGCCTGTTCGCTCGCTTTCCTCCTCGCCTCGCGAAACGCAAAGCATGCGCACTTGCGACCCATCTGCGCAGGAGGCGTCCGCCATTATTTCGCGAATGCACTCCATGGTGTCAGTTGCTCCCTCTCTTAAATCTAGGCTGTCTTCGAAAACCGGCATGTGGCTTGGGCAACGCGGTGTGTAAGCGTTGTAAAGCGCAGCGCGGGTTACCGCGTTGTCTGAGCTGCGGTGTGAGAGGAGGAATGCAGTTGGGGAGGAGGGTAACACGGCCGCCCCATTCCACGCTCTCGTCGGTCTTTACCGTAACGCAAACTGAAGGCAGCTGGGCTGCACACGTGCGACGGTCTAAGTCAAATATTGGTCTCGCTTTTTATGTTTTTTCGTGCCTTCATTTATTTTCAGCGCGTAAAAAGGTCGACCCATCATACTAAAAAAAAACAACAACAAAAAAACAAAAAAAAAAACAAAAAAAAAAAACACGTAGCGCGGAAAGTTAATTATTAGGTTAAGTCACTGAAACTTGGGAAAGTAGCGCCAAGATATGGTCGCCATTTTGGTTCATGGAGTGAGCAGTTCCTCCTTGACCTCTCGATTCTCGGGGAGCCGATTCGAATTCCCGGTCACAGGTTGCTTTATCGAGACGAATACCGAGATTCTGTTATCCGCAGACCGGCGAAATTAGCGCACAATCTCTGCACTGCCACGAGATGCGGCGTCGGTGCTTGGCCGTGGCAGCATTGAAAAATAATTTTCTTGTCTCGGAATACGCAAGAACAGCAATACCGCTGTAAGGGATCCCCGGAGATAAGCACGATTGGTAAGTTAATTGCTTGCACAATGTCAAGGAGGCTCATATTGGCGATGAACGCTTTCTTTATCTTTATTCAGGTACCCACTTCGCCATCAGGCATTACAGTGGGGGGGGGGGGGGGGGGGGGAACAAACAATATACAGACAGACAAAAAACTCACACATTCAGCGCGTGAAAAAATGCGTCATTGAAAGTTATTGAGACAGCGCGGAATGGAAGGGAGTTCTAATAGCGCGCGGTCTCTACAAAAAAGGAGTGTCGCAGTACGTCACCCTTAAAAGGAATTTCTCTCATTTTTAAAGCATGGTCGTTCCTATTGAATACGTAAAACGGCGGTTTGATATATTTATCCTTTTCTATACCGGTTTTACCATAATGAATATAGTGAAAAAAAATTTGAGACGGAGGTGGTTTTGCGATCTTTTAATAATTGCAACCTAAGTTTATGTTCCCACTCGGTCGTACTTAGTAGCCAATCGTAATTACTTAAAACAAACCTCAAAGCCAGATTTTGAATTCTTTCACGTTTATGTATAGAAAAGATGATATAAGGGTTCCAGACAAGGCAAGCATATTCCAGGATAGAACGAATGTGTGAAAAGTAAATTGTTTCTCTGAGCGACTGAGGCACAGTTTTGAAATTTCGTCGCAGAAAACCTAGCATCCGTGAGGCCTTCGAGGAAATACAGCCAACATGCGCATTCCAACGCAGATCGGATGTAAAGTATACACCGATATATTTACATTCATTTGGGGTTTCTATAGCTTTTTCATTTAGCTAATAACGAATCGCTGGAGGTAAAGCCTTTCTTATAAAAGTGACATGTACAGTTTTTCTTACGTTCAAAGACATCTGCCATGACTGACACCATGATTCAATGCTGTCCAGGTCCTTTTGCAAAATCACACTATCCTGCGCATTATTAATCTCTCTATAGACAACGCTATCATTCGCAAACATTCGAATGGTAGAACAAACATCAAGAGCAACATCATTTGTTTAAATAAGAAATAAAAACGGTCCTAGAACCGAGCCCTGCGGCACACCTGAAGAGACGTCGGCCATGTGCGATTGGAAGTCATTAAAACCACATACTGTTTTCTGAACGACAAATACCATGAATCCAGTTACACACTTTGTCATCAAGTTTATAAGCGTGTAGTTTAGAAATTAAAAGATCATGAGGAACGACATCAAAAGCCTTACTGAAATCAAGAAATATACAATCAATACTTCGTCGCTTGTCAAGTGCCAAAGAAAGGGAATGAAAAAATTCAACTAATTGCGTTCTACAAGAATATCCCTGCCGGAATCCATGTTGCGACGGATGTAAAAGGTTAGATGCGCTAAGATGAGTCATGATATTACTATATGGGATATGTTCCATTACCTTGCAGGAAACACTTGTTAACGATATCGGTCGGTAGTTTTCGACACTGGCTCTAGGACCACTTTTATGCACTGGCATTACTCGTGCAAGCTTCCAGTCTAAAGGGATCGAAGATTCACACAGCGATTTTTGGAACAGTACGACAAAATATAGGCATAATGAACTTGAACAAGATTTGAGAACACACCCAGGAATATCATCCGGACCAGTCGATTTGGTTGTATCCAAGTTACGCAATTGATTAAGAATTCCAGAAACAGCAAATTCAACTTCAGGCATAACGTTGGTTGCCGCTGGAACGTTAAAATCTACAGTCCTTGTCTGCGAAGGTGTAATAACTGACCGAATATATAAATTAAAATGCTCGACTTTTTCGTTATCACTGTCGACGAGAGCATCGTTATGTTCGAGGGTCGGGACGGAAGAATTATGTTTGCCGTTTCTCGGACATATTTCCAAAATTCTTTTGAGAAACGCCTAAAGTTATCTTCTAATTTAAGGAAAAACGCCGCTCTAGAAATGTTCCAACCTGTCGCGTACTACTCCAGCCAATTCTTTCAGTTAAGCAAGGTCAGTCGAAAGCCGGGTTTTACGGTATTTGACATAAGCTCTTCTTTTCTTGTTGAGTAAGCCACGCAATTCTCGTGTAAACCACGGCTTGTCACGTGCTCGTTTTGGCTTTAGCATGCGCGATGGGACACACTCGTCGCGCAAGTTAAAGATTTTTTGTTTTAGTTTAATCCATAGCTCATTGACATTTAAAAACTCGGACAAAGTTTCGAAAACCGGAAGATAAGATTCGAGTTCGTTTCAATCGCATTTGAAAGACACCTGATGGCATTAGGCGTTGAACATGGTGGCCGATAAAAAGAACCAACGGCTAAGCATTTTCCATTAGTCAATCCTATCTGATAAAGCACAGTTTCGACATTTTGGGTGTTTAACACTATCTCTGTAGAAGAAAAGGCCTTATCAACCAGAACAAACATCTCGCCACCGCGGGTCCCTCGATCACGTCTGTAACACTCGAAACAGTCAGGGAATACTTCTGCGCCACGTACTGAATCGTCTAACCACGACTCTGTGCCTATAACCACGTGGGGCTTAGTCATCAAGATCCAGCTGCCGGATATCATCACATTTATTTTTTAAGCTTCTACAATTGATAATAAGAAGAGAAATCGAGCAAGTTGTTCGCGGAACTTCACGTAGTATGTACCGGTCAATTTGATTCGTGGTAACGTTCCTAGAAAACTTCGCATCGCCCAAAAACAAGGTGTTATATTTTAAAACTGCCTTAGTGTCCCCCTGCCGATGCGCCTTTGCATAATCCCAGAAGAGTTTTCTATTTTCTTGAATAGGTTTCGAGAAATCTTCCCATATGTTATAGGGGGCATTCTTCAGCCTTCGGGCATTTAAGAGAACGTTCTGCTTTTCCTTAAAAGATTTGAAGGTAGCAATAATCGGACGATTCTTACCAACAGAAAACTTTCCCAGTCTATGAGCTCGCTCGATTTCAACAGTGTCGATGACCAAGTTAGTGTTAGAAAGTTGCATTATAGCATTGCATTGCATTGCAGTGGGCAGGACAGCAGCAGCTCGTTCACCATGCTTAAACGAGTCTTCTTCTTTGTCCAGATTTTGCTGCTGCCTTTCGGGAACCTTGACGTGATTTCTGCGGCCTCGGATGAACAGTTTCAAGATCGCATCGTGGTGATTCCAAGCGACGTGACGGGTACCGTGAATTGTGCTGACGCACAATCTTCCCCGATACCCGAGACTGTTCTGTGTGACAACGACAACCGCGGTCACGTGTTTACGGGCTACTCTGTGACGCCCACCGGGATGACTACGGCGCACATCGACGGCATAAAAACCTTCGGACAAGGCTTCGACGCCAGTGGGCAGGACAGCAGCAGCTCGTTCACCATGCTTAAACGAGTCTTCTTCTTTGTCCAGGTATGTGGAAGAAGGAATGATCATTGTTACCGATCCGATAATCGTTTTTTACTGCTGGTGTCTTGCCCACACCAATATGTGCATTTTTTTGAGTGTGTCAGAAACACTGTTCAGTCTTTGCTATGTTGTGGCGACGTTGAGGCCAATCCGGGTCCCATGAGCGATGTTCAGGCTAAGCAGTTTAGCCAAATGTATGATCTTTTACAGAGCTTGAATGCTCGCTCGCTTCAGTTTGAACAGGGACAGGCAAAGCTGCTTACCAGTGTAAATGAGATAAAGGAAAACCAGAAACGTATGCAAGAAGAGGTGGCTGACATTAACAAAAGGTTGCATGTCGTTGAGACTAAAACAATCCTTCTTGAAACAAAACAGCAAGAATACGGTGTCGCCGGTCAAGCAGCTGATCGCTTACGGAGCGAAAACATCGCTCTGCGGGAGCGTCTTGATGATATGGAGGACCGGTCTCGTCGAAACAACGTTATCTTTTACGGTATTCCTGATCTTGCTTCAGAAATGTGGAGTGACGCTGAACAAAAGATAACAAGCCTGCTCACCGAATGCTCCTTGCCTTCCATAAGCGGAACATTTGGTATAGAGCGCTCACATAGGCTAGGGGCATTTGCTGCGAACAAATGTCGCCCCATCATCGTACAGTTTTCTTCTTTCAAAACGAGGGATCTTATCTTATCTTGCAAAATGCAACTAAAAA